TATTGACAACTGGATAACAGAAATATGTTTGTGGACTTGGACATGAGTTTTCTTTTGAGAATTTCTAATGCACATTTTTTTCATTAGGGACTACTGTTTGGTAGTTTGCAAGCTTTTGATTACCGTAAGTTCAATTTTGATTTACATCAACCCATCATGCAGGTAATTCTCATATAGAATTTCAGATTTTTAATGAATGCATTTGAGCTCTACCTGATAAAAATAAACGGTTGCACATCACAGCCTCCAAACATCACAATTTAAACTTATAATTCAGGCTGAATAGATGAGCTTCCTTACTGACAGGGCTGGTTTAAACCATTTAGTATGCTTTGGCTTTAAAGCCAAGGAATATTATACCTTCAGGCAGCCATTGTGGTGGTTTAATTTAATTATTGTTTCCCTGCCTATGGGAGTGGTGATTTGCACCAAGCGGAAGGAATAATAAAATCAGTCCTGCCTTCACATTCTCTAACTTCAAGAATTGGCAGCTGGATTTTTTTAAACTTGCCGCTTCTGGCTATTCCATCTGGAAGATGTACCCTACCACACCTTAAAACTGTTTTTGGAATAGATCCGTTTTAAGAATGGCCAAGAGTTCAACCTCAATAACAAACATATAAACTATGCTAAAACTACACCAAACACATCTAAAAAAAATAATTTTCTCTTCAGTTAAAAAGATTGGTGAATACCAGGACCTTGCTAATTATTTTTAAAAGTGTGTGGTTTCTTAGCTACTTGCTGCAGAACAATTGTGTATATTTTGTGTAATTTTATGGGTTTGAGCCACAAGATAAAAAATTGGCTCAGCATAACTGAAAACAACCCTAAAATGAACAAGACATTTATACTGATAGTCAGTGGATGTAATCTTGTAAATAAGCTGTTCATGCTGGCTAGCATGACAAAATACATGTTTTTGATTTGAGGACATGTCATCATTACATTGATTAAAACTGTTACAGCTTTAAAGAACTGAAGTCTGAAGCTTCGTTCTTATTCTTTTTTATTTAAATAAACAATGGAAGTTTGAATTATAATTGACGGATTAATCTCAATAAAAATAAGAACTTGTTCACATTAAGACTCTCCCATTGGGGGCCCACTGCAGACCCTGACAGCAGTGGAGAGGATTTCATGTCGATCTTTTATTTAAAAGGGACATTAAGAATGATTCTAATACTTTGTTCAATCAAGGGAAATTATAATTGTTTTGTCACACGCTCTATTAATGCATGTATCCTTAGATTTATGATGAATTTAGAGGTTGAATCTTTAAAACCAGGAGCACTTAGCTATGTGCCTCACCTCAGTGTACAGAGACTGTCGGCTTATCACTAGAGACTGGTAGGTCCTCTTCAGCTCTGAAATCTCAGAATGATACGTCTTCACCTCTGTCTTGCAGGTGATGATTTGGTTTTGGAGAGTTTCCATCTTCAAGCAGAGGAGAAGAAATATTAACAACAGGTTTATTTATTTATTTATATTTAGGGTAAGGTCTGGGATAGCCTCACCTTGGACTGGTACCACTTCTCGACCTCCAGCTTGTTGTCTTTCATCACGGTTTCATAGCGCTCCCTCATCTCCTGCAAGACCCTCATCAGGTCAGAGGACCCTGCGTTGTCCACCTCCACGTTAACTTTCCCAGAGCCCTGGAGTTTCAGCTTCTCCATCTCCTGCAGAAGGCCACACATGAATTGTTTTATTCCACCTTCCCCTCCTCATTTTCTAGAGACTATTGTGTTTTATTTTCAGAAAATCCGACCTCCTTGTGGCTGTTGGCCAAGCAGATTAACTCCTCCTTCAGCCCCTCCACGCTCATCTCCAGGTTGCTGATGCTGAGAGTCAGGCTGTCCCGGATCCCTCGGAGGCGAAACACATCAGCCTCCACTGTCTTCTGCAAGTTAACCTCCATCTCATACCTACACGTCACATTTATTCATTCATTATATCATCATTATGTTAAAGTGCAATCAAAGAATAATAAAATCCTATTTTAAGACCTCCTGATCGTCTAAAAAATAAACACTTCTGGTATCTGATTGTTAAGCTTTAGGGGCCTAAAGGTATTTAAGAGCTAACTTACTTCATTTTAAAGTCCTCTGATGCAAATCGGGAGTTGTCAATATGCAGACGCAATCCATGGTTCTCTGAAATTGTTCTTGCGATCTGAAAGGAAGGAAACATGACATTTATCTTCCACCATCTATACAGGATTGATCTGTATCGTCTTTTAGAGCTGTAAAATGACTCAGTAGGAAGTGATTAGTTAGCGAGGTCACTGACCTGCAGAAAATCTACTTACTGTTGAGAGTTTAGGACTAGTTCCCCACATAACGCTCCACAGTGATTCAAATCAACCTTAGAGATTTTTTATTTATCAAAACAGTGAATCTTTACCAAACGTCTGATGTTGACATTCTTCTTCTTTTTTTCTTTTTTTTTAACAAAGGGTATCAAGTCAGCTATGCTGCTTTTAGTATTTTCCTGGGTTGTGTAGCTATTAGCACCACTATAGATAAAGATTTAAAAAAAGATTAAGAAAAGCAGGAAACCTATAATATATGAGGTAGTCAGACATAAACAGGTTGTTTAAAAGTAAAACCTTTATTTCTGAAAATACATTCCTGTGTCCCTCAAAATGATTTGTGAAACCTTATCTCCTCTTGTTCCAGTGTTTCCTTAGAAAGATACAGTATATTATTAAGTATTACAGTATGAGCTGTTTTCTTCTGCTCGATTACAATCATCTGTTGAGCAACAGACCGATTTAATCAAAAAATAAATGATTGTTTGTTTTTGTTTGAGCACATATAGTATGTTATTGACATACTGAGCTATTTCTCTTCACTATTTTTTAGTACTTCGAAATGAATGAAATATTTATGGAGCTTAAGTGAAATCAAGAAGCATTCCTTTCTATCTTTGCAGGACTACCCTCTTTTTTCTCATTCATCTATGATGTGATGCAAAATGTGAGGGATACCTCTGCTTTCAGGTCAGTAATGGTGGAAAAGTAGGACTTGTAGTCTTTGGTTATATATGTGTTCTTCACACAGAACTCCTCGATGTTTAGCTGCAGCCTCCTGTTCCTCTCCTCCAAAGAGCGAACCTACAGAAACACATATGAACCGGGTTCAGCCAGTTTATTGAGATGCTTCGGTTAAAGAAACCCAGAGTCTTATCTTAAATTCTTAAATATTAATTCTTTGAAAATATTTAATCTTGTTTAGTCTGATCTATATTGACATACAATATGTTAGAGATGAAAGACAAGCTATATGGAAAACAAACTAGGAGACACGTTCAGCTATATTCTGTTCATCACTGATTTTGTTACGTGTGAGTAAAAATATGGAGTTCCTGACACTTTCTGAGGGAAAACATAGGTGAAAAACACATTTTGAATAAAAATTAACTTTGTTTGGAAATTAAATTTCAGTAGCCTGTAGATTAAAACTAAAGAGTCTATTACAGATAACTAAAACAGCATCTTTTCTCAGTGGTCTCTATGTTTTCTACAAACTTCAAAAACTTCTAAATCCTATAAAAAAGTAGCAGTTTTTTTTTTTTTATATAAACTTAAAACTATTGGACTGTCCGGGAACAAATATAATCTGAATATAATGATGGTTCTTCCAGATTTTATTGTTGCTGGAAGTTATATTTTTCCTTTAAAATACATTTTTAAAATACATTTTTTCTGTTTAGTTGTTTAACAGGTAGCAAAGAAATCTTTGCATGTTTTTTTATTAAAATATATAAACCATGAAATAACACGAATAATTTCTTATTCTACTGATCAAATCATGATGAGTAGAGATTGTAGCCCTTGGTTTAATTTTCTTTGCAGGTTTAAAATAATTATTCCATGACACGGGAACCAGTAGAACAATAGGGGTCGCTGTTTCCCCTGAAATCCAATTTTCACCGCAAATTATAAAATAATGAAATTTATGAGTGAGAATAAGAGGTCGTTTTGTTGATAGTCCCCACAGTTGGGCAGAGATTTTACTGGGCGGAGCCCAGATGAGATTTATGGGAATAAAATATTAAATAATAATAATAATAATAATAATAATAATAATGAACAAATATTCATCAACTAGTTAATTGGAAACAAATAATGATTTGTTTCATGGTGCACATGGTTGCATCAGTTCTGTGTGAATGGGCACTAAAATATCAGATTAAGTAATCCCGTTTTAAACCAGCAGATGGCGCTAAACAGACGCTTTCCGACACAAAAGCAGGATTTTAATGAAAAATGCAGAAGATTGTCAAAATGATGTAGAGATGGCAACATTAGATATTTATATAAAAAGTTAATATATATATAAAAAAAAAGAAGAAGCAGGAATGGGTGACCTTTTTATGTGAAAATTAAATCAAAAGAAATGTAAGTTTCTTTTAATCGATTTTGACCACTCATGTATTTTTATGGAGTTTTTTTAATCAAACAGCAAAATGGAATATACTCATTTTCCATTACTAGTTTCTAATGAGGAAATCTTAGCAATAAAATCTTATACACAGATATTAATAATCCGCAGAAAGTTATTTTAGGAATTTTATTGAAGCTGTTTTTTTTATCTCTCTTTTTTTTTTTTTTTTTTTTTTTGCTGAATCTTGCATTAATTAGCCTAATATGTTTCGAACAAAAAACTGCAGTGAAAAAAGACACACAGAGTTAATTGAAATACAAGCTGTTTTCATTAGGGGAACAAATACATGAGTACAAATTCTACTGTGTGGTATCACTGATGACATCTCTTTTTTGCAACATTTTATTTGGCAAAGAGCTTAGAGGGAACTTACCAGAAGATTATAAAAAAAAAAAGAAGAGTTTCTGGTTTGTGATGTTTCTCTATCATATCTTCTCATCTATTGTTGATCACCCAAAAATGATGCGTGCATCAATTTAATATAATTTAATTCTTAGAGAAAATCAAATATCCTTATGATTGCAGATGAGAGATTCTCTGATCAAAGATGAGGAGATTGTCTTACCTTCTCCAGGTAAGAGGCCAGACGGTCATTGAGGTTCTGCATTGTGATCTTCCCACCGTTGATCCCAGTTAAGTCTGCCCCGGTGCTTAGAGAGCCATTGGAGCTGAAGACAGAGGAGATAGAAGAGGACCCATTGGAGATGCGCGTCCCGTAGCCGCCCGCTCCTCCATACACGCTGGGTGCGCGTTTTTGAAAAGGCCCGCTGGGTGCGCGCTGCTGCATCCATCCTATGGCAGATGAACTGGAGCTGAAGCTCTGCTGGCTGACAGACACAGACATGATGTTACTAAGCTGCAGGAGGAGGAGATGAGGGCCTGCAACAGGAGACTGCTCTGACACTGCTGTGGACAGCTGGATGCTTTATAAAAGGGGAGACAACATCAGGGCCTGCAGCATAACAATCACAGGTATGCCTTGCATGTGGATAACAGATATTTGCAAATAGCTGAATGGGTGTGTGGGGGCCCCTTTTTACCAAACAGGTTAAATGATCTCGTTCTACAGCTTGAAACTGACAATTAGACTGATAAGATACTAGAGCATGAGACTTGCCTCTATGGCTTTAAACACTGCTGAGGTTGAAATGCTGTAATTACTGAAATATCTTTGAAGACAGGATCTTAAAAGGAGGGCAGATATCCCAAGAAAAAAGCATGAATAAATAACTTAAATGGATTAAATAACAACTATAATTTTAGACAATCCAATACAATTAAGAAGGAAACACATGCAAACATTATGGAAATTATGTGTAATTTAGTGGTTATGTCTGAAAAGATTATTATCATACCTCTCCCAATAGTCCTGATCACCAATTATTTTCTCGAAAACCTATTTATGAGTCCATGCAGTCCATTAAGAGAACAAACTCTTTAATCAAAATTATTTACATATAAACATGCACATTCATGTGTCTACACAGGTCTTTAATGATACATTTATTACCACAACCATTGCAAAAATACTTATACAGCCATCTACAGTCATTAACAGAGCCTATAGATGTTCATCACCATTCTTCCATCTCATATCTTTTTAAGAAAAAACATGTTTGAGCCTTTTCCCAAACAGTTTCAAGCATGGACATTGCCTAATTCAACTGAGGTTGTTCCATTGCCATAGCTTTTATAACATCATTAAGTAACCCTTATAAATGTTTTACTTCTGAGCACAAAAACAAACCAAATTTTTTTCACTGGAATTGTGCCATAAACCAAACCAACATAGTAAATTGTTGGGAAAGTGGGAAGGATCAGTCTGTATATGTCAATCTGTTTAAATACAGCTTTTCTGTGAAAACGTCAGAGGTTTGTAAGAAAGCAATGGACCAAATAATAAAGCAGAAGTAACAAGAAGAAAGTTGTGAAGTGTGTCTAAAGTGGTTTTAGAACAATATCCCAAAATTCATACCTCTCACAGAGACACTGCTTAACTTATCATTCAAAAAAATGCATCCACTACAACCAAAAGATGGCTGACCAAAGGCCTGACAAGAAGACCATAGATTTGAGGTGCAGCGAACGGATCAATGCTGACTCTGGAGGAGCTGCCGAGATCCGCAGGGGGGAATCTGTTCATAGGACATTTATCCACTGATCTCTGTTTATTCTCAGAATATCCAATTGGTCAAAAACCTGAAGCCACCATCTTGATACTTCCTACTCTCACAGAGTCACGGCATAAACATGCCAACGTGTGTAGAATTTGGTTGCAACAACAAGCAGTTTTCTGGCTCTGAGAAGATGTTTCATAGGTAATTGTACAATCAGTGGATGATGTACTTAAAATATTATATTAAAATAACAAAAAAGCAACTATATATATATATACATATGTATGTATGTATGTATGTATGTATGTATGTATGTATGTATGTATGTATGTATGTATGTATGTATGTATGTATGTATGTATGTATGTATGTATGTATATATATATATATATATATATATATATATATATATATATATATATATATATATATATATATATATATAGATTTGAATACAATGTTATATTACAGGATTTATAGACTTTATACTTGATATGCAATATGATGTACCCATTTTTTACCATGACTGACAGTAATCTACTAATGCTATAAAATAGCAAGTGTGTGTCAAGGTGATGAAATGATCTTTATTGTAAAAGTCCCTCTGAAAGTCCCTCTGAAATTGAGGATATCATCATTGTTTGATTCTACAGCTCACATATTGTTTACATTCTGGCTGGTGGTAACTAGGCAGTATCAATATGGTGACTGGTGAACTCATAGCATTGTGTAATACCAACGGCCTATCGGATATCCAGAGAATAAAGAAAGATCAGTGCATTTATCCCCATGCACTCTTTGGTTTTTATGCAAACAGCAAGAATAAAGTCATGTAGGAAAAACAGCAAATGAATGAAAAAAGTGCTGTGATCAGATAAAACCAAACCTAAACCTACAGTATGTTACTGTATGTGAAGATGCAAACAAAGACTATATATAATGAGAAACATTAATATCCAGTCAGATCCAGATGTTAAGGTTCAGTTTAAAAAATGGCCAAACAACAACAGCAGAAAAAGGTTCAGAGAGCTATTTTAATTAAAAGGAATGGGTAAAAATAGTTTGCAACAGACTTGCGAAGATGGATGGATGGATGGATGGATGGATGGATGGATGGATGGATGGATGGATGGATGGATGGATGGATGGATGGATGGATGGATGGATGGATGGATGGATGGATGGATGGATGGATGTTAACAATTGTAATCACATTTTCTGAATCATTTAAAAGCAAACTAGTTGTCAAAAGTGTTTCACAAACAAAAAAAAAGCACAGAAGAGTAAAGAGTTATATTACAGACTGTGTCTGATTCATCCATTTAACAGACGGTTAACATCAGTCCAAGGCAGAGGAATAAAGATGAGTTTTAAACAGACATTCAAATGACCATATTATCTGAGCTGTGCTGACATATAGAGGAAAGGTGTGTAAATGTTTGATGTCCTCTATGTATAGACTTTGTTAGAAATTTTAGTCCCCTAAATTTTAGATGTACCCCAAAAAACCTGCATCCGCAACTGCAGCAAAAGGGGGTTCTTCAAATTATTGACCAAGACGTCAATTTTAATAATAATGTACACAACACTGTTGATGTTTCATTAGCTGAAAAAAAGAAAATCTTTCATTGTCCTTCTACATCACAGTTTTACAGGGACAGTTTTGTTTGTTGTAATCCCAATAAAATGTGTCAGAACTATAGTTGTTATGTTACAAATACAATTTTATGATTTCTCCTTAAATTCCCACAGACTTCTTGGAAAATCTGTCAGTTGTCGTTAAAACTTGAAAGTGCAGACCTGAGGGAACAGAAGGACACTTTCATAGCAGCTGCAACTTTCTCTCAGTGGGAAAACTCAAGAGATGTAGCCCTAACTGGCAACGGTTCTGGGAAGTCTCTGTTATTATTGCAACGTTTTGGTATTTTTATTTTCTAAGTACAAACAAAAGCTACACTCTGCACTGTTCAGTAAATAATGGGTTTCGACCATAAAGAAATTAGAAACTGGTTGGAAATTAAAAACATTTAAATGTGAGACTAATTATCCTAAATGACTTCTTCATTATGGAGAAATGCAGCCTACCAGGAGCGTCCTGACAGACAAGCTGTTGGTAAAGAACCTGAAACTCAACAGAATCTCCACAAAGAGCCTCGACACAGAGCCAAGCATGGAACATACCTTTATTTCAAATATGTTTGGAAAACATCGGCGTGAAACAAAAATAATATCTAGATAATAAACTGGTTATTACACACTATTCTCACCCTAACAGCCTAATGTTATGTTATGGTGTAAGAAGTATATAATGATAAAATCCTACCTCAGTAACATGGAATAAAACCAACTGTTTTTGGGATGTTTTTGCAAGGTCTCAATGAATCAGTGAATAAATAGTGGGTTAATTTCTAAAAAAGAATGATACTATTATAACAAGAGCAATCCCCCATGTGTACCCTGAAGACTTAGGTATCAGTTTTTATTTTAATTGTTATAGGTGGCATCAATGTCAATAGATTTTAGGGAATCCATTATATTCTGAATGGGCTTAACTGGATAGTATGCACAATGTGAAATTAAACTGCTACCTTGCACTAAGGAAAGAACCTCCAGGACCTTTAAAGCTCTCCCTAATTGTATTTATTCCTAAACATTGCATAACTTATTTTATTTATCAAATTTCACATTAAAGGAGGCGTTGGATTGGTGCTAATGAACAGTAGCTGTGGGAGAGCTGAAGCTAAGACTGAGATGAGGGAAATAATAACAGCTGACAACTAAAGACAAAATAACATTTAATCACAAAATAACACATTCAATGTTCATATCAACCAAAATTTAAATCCTTATTCTCAGGGTAGGATTTTACTATAATTCATTTATGTGGGAAGTCAGATTCCTCCCAAAATAAGGCCAGTCGGATATTTTTACTACAATCTTTTGTTCTTGGTGAAGACTGAAAAGAGAAGGGTGGATGGACACATGATGAAACACCTACTCATCCCAACTGTTTTTTGTATCGAGGTCACCAACCTGCTTACCACCAGACATTACCTTGGTTTAAACAATTCCAAGAGAAATCTGTCTGTTTTTATCTGTAAAAACAATCTAAAAGCAACAGAGACAATTATCTGCTGCCTTCTACAGATTAAGAGGGTGTGTGTGCATGTCTGAATGTGGGAGTCTGATCTGGGAAACTAGTCGTGTCAGAAAGCTGTCTCTGTCTGTGGCCCTTTATCAGATAAGACTCATGTGCAATGTAGGACAAATATTGGTGATTACTACCACAAAACAGAATTAAGAAATAAAAAGTTGATGTCTTAATCTACTTTCTGTAGATAAAGGTTGGGTTGATCTTAGTTTTATTTTATACAGAACTTTAAAGAATCTAGAATCTTTATTAAGACAAGGTCATTTCAAAAGGGACATTTGGGAATGAGAGGAACAAGATGTTAGAAGGCCGTCTGACTGCTCAGACCTGTTAGTGATGGCAGGATGTTAAAAGGGCAGCAGCAACAGTAAACAGTGGGGCGTGGGCAGGTCGGGTGGACCCGAAACAGCATAACAAAAACCTGCAGTATGAGAAAATCCTTCGGGAAAGTTCACAAAGGTCAGAACCACCACAATCTGTGAGAAAAATAAGTTTTAATAACTTTTGGGAGGAGAGATGTTGATGCATGTAAAATTACTTTAGTACAAATGTGAAACGGGGCACTGAGTGAAGGGCAGGTGACAGGACACAACTCTGCTGATGTTTCACTCTTTCTAAATCCAGTGATCCTGCTACTTTATGAGAATATAAATCACATCGAACCACACAGGGGCTCAACCTCTTCAGAAAGGAAAATCTATACCCAATAAACACAGGATTAATGCCTTTAACGCCTGAGATGAAGTCACTAGAAAGGAGGGGAAGCACAGAGAGCAGCAGCTCTCCTGCAGCCGATCGTTTTAGAGAGTTTTCTTTACCCTACAGCTGCTGTCGTAAAGATAAAGACGATGTGGGGGCAATTGTCGCCCTTTTTACTCTCAAACAAAAGCAGCTGCTTTAAAGTCACAGACGTTCAAAGCAACAGAGTGTTTGGGTCAATTACCCTTCGCTAATTTCTAACCATTAACATTTTGATCAGTTATAGCGATAAGTTAAACTATTTAACAAATGAGTACAATACTTTGTATATAAATTTCTTTGCACCGACTCCATAGATGATCCCTGTTTGAACCAGTTGCTCCCAATGGAACATATTAGGACCCCTGAAGACAATTACGTCCACACATTTCCTTCCCTTTGAATTTATTTCAGAAATAGATAGAAATCATCCCTCTACAGATGAGTCCATTTAAACCAGGTGCAAACAACCACAATTTTTGGGTGTTATAAAACGTCAAATTATTCATAGTAGAGTTTGATTTAAAGTAAATTTCTATAATCCAAAATCTTTGTTTCTCAATAGAAATAAGCCAAAGGAAACTAAGACTAAGTACTAAAAGGAAGAAAGTAAATATATATTAAACAAATTTTAACTCTCATGTCAATTTCTATACTTTATAGGCATTATAGCAATTATACCATTCTTATAAGTGCTTTTCGAAAAGGTATTTTGAGGGTTTGTCTTTGGGGATTCACTTTTAAAGTCTTGAATGGCCTTGCCCCATTTTAACTCTTTGAGCTGCTGCACCCCTAAACCCCCAGCCGATCTCTCAGGTCAGCTGACCAGCTGCTCCTGACAGTGCCGAAAGCAAGGCTTAAGCTCAGATGGGATCGAGCGTTTTCCGTTCCAAAACTTTGGAGCTGAATTTTAGACAGGCCACCTCTGTTTCATTTTAAAACCCTTCTTAAAACCCACCTCTTTTCTTTGGCGTTTGACACCATGTAGAGTGTTGATTTTATGTATTTACATGCATATTTTTATCCTGTGCGGGCAGTGCTTTCATTTTATTTAGTTTTATTTTATTTATTTGATCTTTTTGTGCAGCACTTTGGAAACCTTGTGTTTATTGAAAACGTGCTATATAAATAAAGTAGATTGGATTGGATGAGCTCCACATCATCTGGGTTGGAAGGCCTCCTTGCCATCATTCTAATCTGTAGCTCCTTCCACTGATTCTCCATCAGATTCATATATATTCTTGTTGAGTCACTCTGAAATGTTATTAGTTTCAGTGAAAAGAAACATGAAAGTCAAATTTAGAGTAATTTATTGGGTTGAAATTAGTATGGACCCAAATGGCCAAAAAAAAATACAACAAGAATTTCTACCTCATAAAAAGAAAATTAACTAAAACTTTATGAATTGCTGTAGTGAGCATTATCTGATTTCATAAATATTCTCATATGAAATAGTGTAAAAAGTTTGCCTTGCAATTTTTCTGTTTCACTGCTTTGGTTTATGTTTGTTTGTGTTTGAATCTCCTTTAAAGCTGAATCCATAGTTACACTAGAAGCTTTGTTTTGAGTCCAAGCAGCTCTAAAACCTTATTGAGTTTCTTCTTTAAACACATTGACTTTACTTTTATTGCAGCAGGAAAAGGTCTTTCCATTGAGGTGAAAAGCATTATAACAGGTTTTAGACGTGTCGTTTCCTTTACGCACTTCCTTCCCAAGTATCCGCCAATCCATCAAATGTTCTCTGCTGAAAGTTATCAATCTTTGATTTTAGGCAGTGCTGCTTTCATTCCCTCTTTGCTATAAAAGGGTTTACCCACCTGGCAGATCTGCAGAAGCACCTCTCTTCTTCAGGGTGAACATCACATCTAATCCTCACAGGTATGTTTTATCTTTTTATATATACATGTTTTTTTTTGTTAGTTTTTTTATGCATTTCTAAAAGGAAGGTTTCTATTCTTTTCTGTTCTGGCTCCAGATATGGCTGGGAAAATAGTTTTGGTCTTTGCACTGTTGGCGGCCCTGCTGGTTTCCAACTGTGCATCCTCCCCTGAAAGCTCTGCAGCCGTGGAGACAAAGGAAAGAAACGTCCTCCAGCAGCTTCTGGCCAAGAGGGAGAAAGTGCGGGAGTCAGCTCGGGCGGAGAGACGGGCGCACCTGTCTGAGGACGAGCGGGAGATAATGACCAAACAGATCATGCAAGCCATCTCAGGTATGCAGTTCAAGTGCTGATGTTCCCGCTGATTATCAGATCAGGTGGGTGAACGTGCAGAAAGTGATCCATTCTGTCTGTGGTTCAATGTAGGAATGGTTTGTTCACAGAGGTGATGAATTCTGACTGCATGTCGGATCGGGACTACCAGGGCTGGGTGGACTTCGGACGCAGGGAAGCAGCAGAGTGAGAGAGGCCAACCTGCTCGGCGTGCTTTTTTTTTGTTCAGACTGTACAGAAAAGTTGAATTTAACCACTGAAAATGTTTGAATAAACTACTTTGCAGAATGAACACAGCATTCTGGACTGATTACTGTTTACTAAGAGTGCTGAAATACATTTGGAGACAAGTTTGATGGTGATGCATATTTTATTCTCGGTTGGTAAAAGGAACACTCCCACATAGTTGGCAGACTACAGTGAAGAGCAGAGGAGAGAAACAGGAATCAGCGAGCTTAGGTCAAAAACTAGACATTCAGCTTTTAAGATTTATTCCCTTTTAAATCCACAGTATTCTATGAAGCTAGATTTGATTGTTCTGTATGCAACACATTGTTCAAACATTAAAAGATTGGAAAATAACTCGTAATGCCCAGAAATACATGATCAGATACGGATCCCAGCATTTAGACAGATTCCTTCAATGGTGAAACAGAAAAGTTGACAACGATATGTTGAAGCTGAAAGTCTGTCCAGTTCTTTCTGATGTATTTAGATTTACCAAATAATTAGAGATGAGGAGGTCTGCATGGCGTGAGAGCCGGAGAGAGATGGATGAAGGAAACCACAACAGCACGTTTTTAATCAGAGCTTTGTTTCCTCACTGCAGGAGTTCAGAAATACACGAAAACCAGAGCTTTTGGTTTTTTAAGTATCACAGCCTCAGTTTATACTGCATGTTGACTTTTTTTTAACTTAAATATCAAAGAGGAATACTACTATTTACACTTTTTAAACTAAAAAAAAATACACAAGTGATTACATTAATAAAACAAGCGATGCAGAAAATAGTAAAAGGACATTCACAAACACATAAAAAGATTCTGTTAGTGGTGTAGTGTGTGTGTGATAACAAGCTGAAGTAATCAGCTCCTGAGATGAAGACTGGTTGAATGAACATAAGTCCATCCTTCTAAAGAGATAACATCTCCAGCGTGGCTTCAACACATTCTGTGGCGTTCTCTTTTTCAAGACACGGGTGCTGTGGTGGGTCATGGATTGCACATTTTGGAATCTCATGGCTTAATGCAAAGTCACGATGGTGAAGAAGAGGAGTTGGGGGAGCATGTGAAGGTTTTGTGGTGTCTCTCATGCCCACCCCGGCCCATCATTCCCCAGGCTGCCACTCTGTGCAGCCCGAGGCTCTGAAGCTTCTCCACTAAGTTCAGACTAAAGACGCCCCTCCCTTGGTTTCTGTCTGAGGACAATCCAGATCCTCCTCCCTGTTTCACATCAGAGGACAGAGGATGCGCCACAGTCTGGGCATAGTGCAGGTTGCTGTAGGGGTCAGTGGAGGCAGAGATGCCGTGCTGCTGCAGCAGCTGCAGGAGTCCCAAGGAGAAGGTGCTGCCGGGGGTGGAGTTGAGGCTTCTGCGGTGAAAGTGCTTGAGTTGGGAGGATGACGAGGCGTTCACGTGCTCACCGTCCCGATGAGGTGGCAGGCTGAAAGAGCGAAGGCTGCATACCAAAATATAAAAACACGGTTCATATTAATAAAAGCAAATATTTGATCAGCTTTAGATACATGCAACCATCTACAAACAGTGCTTTCCATCCAAAATGTTTGCTGCTATTTAAGCTGTCTAAGCAGTCCTAATAAAAAAGAACATTCATTGACATTCACTGATATGATTTTTCAAAATGCAAAAAAACAAAGTGTGGCTCCTTCAAAGGAAAACATGAACTGAGAGATGAAACCTTTGTGTGTAAAACAAGCTTTGGTTAGTTGGGTGGATTATCTCTTAAGGTGGAGAAGCATATCAGTTAGTTCACAGCAATAAGACAGCATCTGATTGTTTAATGGAGACCTTAAAAAGAGGCAGAGATTTAACTTAAAATGACAGTAGAAAGTCCAACCAACTTAGAGAGGGTTTTAAATGTAATATAACGTTAGTACAAGCTGTTGTATACAGAGACAGAGAACATGGGTTCATTTATGTTAGAGTCACTAGAGTTTAAGTTTTTTTTATGTTTAAATGTTGTCCACAGTTCAGCTGAAAATGGGGAGCTGAATCTCTGTGATCATAAAAACCCAACTTGTGGTAACATAATGATTGAAAAGTGAGTTACAACACTAAACTTTGTTAAATAATATAGCATAAAAACTCAAATGAGTGACACAGTGTTATTTTTTTTATCATGAAAGCCTGACTGCTTACAAACATTTTAGCATAGCAGGATGTAAGATTAATAGTTGCACAAAGTACTACACTGCAAAGACTATCACAAAGTACAAATTTCTTAAAATAAGTGAATTTACCCTTAATTTAAGCAGGTAAATAAGACAATCGGCCAATGGAATGAGTATTGCTAACCTTTAAATAGGATAATTAGATACTATGCACTTGAAACAAGACAATGCAGTTTTTTCTGCTGTTTTATTTTAAATATAAATTGTCTTATTCCATTTGCAAAGTGACTTACTTATATTTCATTTCTTTTTATCTTATCTTTTGAAGCAGGGGTCGTGAGGTTTGCTGGTGCCTATCTCCAGCTGTCTGCAGGAACCTTCTTGCCTTGCAGGAAGAAGGTTCCAGGTTTGATTCCCGGCCCGGGGTCTTTCTGCATGGAGTCTGCATGTTCTCCCTGAGCATGAGTGGGTTATCTCAGGGTACTCCGGTTTAATTCCACAGTCCAAAAACATGACTGTTGCATTAATTGACTTCTCTACATTCTCCTTAGGTGTGAGTGTGTGCGTGAATGGTTGTTTGTCCCATTTGTCTCTGTGTTGCCCTGCGATGGACTGGCGACCTATCCAGGGTGTACCCCGACTCACGCCTGTAGACAGCTGGAGATAGGCTCCAGCAAACCTCCCGACCTTGGGATAAGCGTGACAGAAAATGGATGGACATTTCAGTTTTTGCAGTGTATTAAAAAAGTGATCAGAGCTGCGAAAAATAAATCTAAATGTAGACAAAGTCAGGAAATTCAGAACTGCTGTTCTTCTGTATAGAAAAAGTAGCTATTAGAGACTGCAGCTGTTTGTAAAACTATGTCTGCTTTCTAGAAGGAAACCCCTCCCCTCCAAATAGTGATTATTCTTTTTATTTATTCAGCAATACACAACCCATATAATTTTAAGGTACTTTACTGAGACGATTCAATCAAATACTACAGAATAAAAAGTTTTCTATCTAAAGAAATCCAGCTAATCTTGAAATATGTCTTGGATTATTTCCCAATAAAGTATTAGGATGAAAGTCAGAGATAGCGACCCAAAAGAACAGAACCCAACCTAAAGTGGTTTTGGAAAAAAAGGTCCAGCTGTCTGGACTGTCACCACGTTCAGATGCTGTTTCAGGAATTATGGAGGTCTGATGAGTAACTCCCAATATTATTGTTTAAAAAAATTGTTCGACATTCCAGCAAGTTTTTTTAACGATTAACTTTATTCATGGCGCTAAATTTAATCTTGTGTCCTTGAGAGTATAAAATTTTGCTAGCTGGTTTTTCCAGCAGTTGAGATGTACCGGTAGATATCAGAAACGTAACAGTTTTCCTGCAGCAGTTACATTTTATTAAACTATAACACAGATAAATAAAACATGCTACTTTGTCTCTGTTATTAATAATTGAAATGCCGAGCCAACATTGAAGAGAATTAGTTGTTTTGCAGGTGTCCATTAAATCATGCTCTTACTTTTCCTGAAGGCTGCCTCTAAAGTTTCAGAACGACCCTCGATAGACGCTTTCTACCAGGGAAGGTGCAAAGGGGGAAAAGTCAAGAGGGGGAAAGCAGCAGGAAAAAAGACAGACACCAGGGAAAAGTTTGATTGAAGGAAAGGGTTGATCAGCTGCTTTTCATTTTATAAACTGAGATTAACTCAGATGAACTCAAAGTTGTGAAAATCAACAGGCAGCAGCGGTAGAATTGAGATTTCTACAGAGTTCTTACCGATTGGAGAAGGAGGGGATGAGAGGGGAGGGTTGGAGGACTTTGCAGGTGGGATGTGTGGGGAAGGTCTGAGGGAGGTTGGGACCCGATGAGGAGGCTGTCAGTTTATGGGAAGAGACACACATATTAAACCTCATGTAGAGGAAAATCCTTACATCTTAATAGGCTTTTAAAGGAGGACTGATTCAGAAGATACTAGACCTTGAAAACATTTAAAAGGGAATACAGAAATATTAATTTCAAACAGCGTAACTCTTACCCAAACCATGAGCTGCAGAAAGCTGCGACAGGTCAGGCTCATCCTCCTCCAGGTCGTTCAGGCTGTAGACGTGCTGAGTGTCCACCTCTAGTTCTTTGAAGTCTTTGGTCAGGACTCCAGGGCGAGGGTGGAGGATGCCCCCCAGGTTTGGCTTAGCCAGCTGCTGCCAGTGGTGCAGAGTCACAGAGCCTGACAGGAAAACACACAGGATAAAAAACCCTGATTCTTCTCACACAGAAACACAACAAATATCTCTGCTGAACATGATTTTTTCCTAGTTAACAATATTACCGTGGGCTGCAATATGCAGCAGGGAGCTTTCAACTTAACACCTGTGCTGTTTATTTCTAAGACTTTTATTTTAAAGTGATGCAGGTAGTAGTTCTTTAGTTGTGTTGCCTACTCGCCTGAATAGATAAACAAACTTTTAAACTGATCATCTGTCAGCATTTTATGTAGCTAAACAGAAACATTGACAGATTGAGAGAAAACACACAAATGATTTGTAAACACTGTAAAACACTGAGACTGTCTAACCATTAGCTGCTAAAAGTGCTAAAGTTGACATGTAATTGGTAACTTCAATATTTTCTCTGTAGAAAATCTAGTTTTTCCACCTCAGAATAAAATAGCATAAAGCCTGCAATGTGAGATTAATTTATAGTTGATCTAAAAAGAAATTCTGTTCCTTTAAAAAAAGGATTTGATTTCTAAAATGTTATTTTTTTACTCCTGTTTAGGAGATCTTTTGTTTCCTAAAAATGTGACTTGTTCTAGTCAGCTGGATGCTGAGTATGCAATGGATGCCTTGATAAACCCCCTCATAACCAGAGTTTTTTGTGATCAACACACTCTTGCATTTATGAAAAGTTTATAATATGATCACATTTTTAATGAGTTGAATCTGGAAATTCACATA